CAGAACCTGACATTAACTTGATGTTTTAACAAGTTTTGCAACAACTCTATAACATACCGATGATATCTTTGGTTTTGGCCAACCATATCTTGTTAGGTGCAGGTTTCGTTTCAATGCTTATCGCAGAAATGCCGTCTAAGGGATGCTACTATCATATTCTAAAATTGACAATAATACCTCATATCAATACTAATCCCAATCATCAAAATCAATGGTGATATGCTAGTTAATATTTTTCAATTAAAGTAAACAAGATTACGCCTATGTCTCAAAATTCATAAATCTTTTTGCCATACAAGTTTTGTCTCTCCTAAATTCGAAAGTGTATTCGATAATACCTTAGGTTAAAATATTACAAAGCTTGGAAAAATTAGGGATTCGCTTATAATTAGTCAACAATGGTAGAAATTAAATTATCTTCAAATTCAAATCCCTAATTTTACAATTTACAACACAAAGCAATAATATAAGAAAAGAAAGATTACCATATACCAATGAAGATAATGGTGACGGTGGTGAGCTGATGAAGGGCTGAGTTCGACGGAGAATGGGTTTTCTTTGTTCTTTATTTCCCGTGTTTCCTCTTTCTATTCGAGTGGTAAATCCAAGGTGAATCTGAATCGACTGTGTTTCCTCTTTCCGGTGGTAAATCGATGAATGAAGGAAGAATATGGCGTGAGTAAATCAAAGGAAGAAGATGAGTGAGTGGATACCGTGTTTTGAAGGAAGGATAGCTCAATGGTGTGAGTAAATCAGAGGAAGAAGATGAGTGAGTGGAAGAACTTGTTTTGTTTTTGTAGCGGTAGTAGCAAAACTTTTGTGCCCCAAAACGCAAAATATCAATTCGGGAAAACACTTTGGTTTTTAATTAATTTTATTATTTATTATATATTTTATAATATAGTCTAACAATAGCGTTTTTTTGAAAAGTGCTATTTTAGTGAAAACTTTTAGTAGCGTTTTTTTGAAAAGCGCTATCTTAGTAAAGTTTAATAATAGCATTTTTTTACAAAGCGCTATCAAAATCACATTTTGTTTTTTTTAATAGTACTTTCCTTAAAAGCGCTATCTTAGTGAAGAATATTAATAGCGTTTTAAAGAAAGCGCTATCTTAGTGAAGTTTAATAATAGCATTTTTTTACAAAGTGCTATCAAAATCACATTCTCTGTACTCTATAATAGCCCCCGACTATAAAGTGCTATTATAGATGTGTTTGTTTCCTTTTTAATAGCACTTCCTTTAAAAGCGCTATTAAATTAGGCGATACAAAATATCAATTTTGGCGTAGTGTTGGCGAGGTGACCGAAAAAGGGATTTAGGTATGTGGTGTTACTGCAGTATGTATTTGTGAAATACCTTCGTTAATGGACAATTACCAAGAGAACTAGTTTTAACCGATCGAAAGAAAGACTTATGTATGAGTATCGACACACCTTACCTTCATAAATCTTTTATTGGATGTGTACCATTTGATCTAAAAATTTTTTATCCAAGCTTGTTGCTTGAGGTCAAGCAACGGTTTAAGTTTGGGGGAGTTTAATCAGTGGTTTAAGCAACAGTCAAGAACATTTTCAACAGAGTTTCCATTGTTATAAAGTTTGGCTTGCACTGAAAATAAAAGAAAATATTGCATAGTAAGCCATATGTTCAAGACGTATGTGTTAATTTATAAGAGTAACTAGACTCAATTAAAATATAACATTAATGATATTTTTATTAAATTTAGTATATAACTTATTTAACTATCCAAAAACTAGTCTTTTGAATATATTTCAGTCAAACATAAAAGAAAATATATTATAACATAATTCAGAAATATTAATATAGCTTTACATAAAATTTAGTAAAATCTATAAAGTTTAATAATTTATAAAATCCTTTAGTAAATCGTAAAAAATATATCTTTTGGACCTAATATAATATTTTATTTTATTTAGTCAAAAAATAATTTAAGTTTATTGATTAGATGATAAAAAGTAGGCTTTATTTCTTTTATTACATCATAATAGTGTGATGAATATATTTCAGTCAAAGTTTAAAATGAATACATTATTACATGTTCCGAAAACATTAATTTAGTATTATGAGTCTTTGAAGATTTCTGAAGGATCTGAAGGAAATGATATGAACACGATGAGTGTCTGGAAAATCTGTTGAAGAGCGATGATGACGATCCGTGAACGTCATGCAGAAAACAACGAAGATCCGGTGATAAATTGATGAACGATGTATGTTCTTGATTTTTCAGGAGAAACTGATGGAGTTTGATGAAGAATCACGAAGATCTTCATGGAGATCTGGAGAATGCGTTGAAGAACATGATGAAGTTTCCGATGAGTTCTTGAGTTTACCGGCGAGGCATGGGTGAAGGGGATGAATGAAGAGGATGATGGTGGTTGATGATTCTGACGTGTTTTTGCCGTTTCCGGTGAGCTTGTGAACTCCGGCGACGGTTACTGGCGACCGTTGCGGCGGCTGCATGGCCGGCCGGTGAGCTGGTAGTAGTGGATGGTGAGTTGGCACGCATGCAAGCAAGGGAGAGTGGGATGGGGACGCGTGGAGAGAGAGAGAGAGAGAGAGCATGCAGAGGGAGGGGGTGGACAAGTGGCAGTGTGTGGTGAGTGGAAAAAATGAGGTGGCAGAAGGGAATGATTACACGCGTGGCATGCTATATATGGGACACCTGGCGTTGGACCTTTGACTTGGGCCTTTGAAATGGATAAATGGCCCACTACTCCGATGAATGATGAAATGATTAAAATGGATTAATTGGAATTAACTAACTACAGACTAATATATATAGGCTAATAAACGGAAATGATTAATGCTAATGCTGAAAACGAAAATGATCTAGTTCTAATTAATAAACCTACATTATCTAACTAAACACAATCTATCAAATATAAAAATAATATTCTAAACTAATATCTATTATATTAAAACTATTCCATTAAATCTAAAAAACTATTTAAAATTCTATTCAATTAAGAAATCCAATTAAATCTATATTAACTAAAAATCTATATCTATTCTAATTCTATAAAAAGAAACCAATTCTAAAATTCTATTAAAATCTATTTAATTTCTAGAACTATATTGAAAATCTATTAAAAAACTATACTATTCTATTTAATAATACAAAACTAATATCTAATATTTTCAAAAACTATACTATGATTTATTAACCCAAAATATAATATTCTAACAACCTATTAAAGATCTATTTAATTCTAAAATCTATTTAAAAATCTAGAAAAAGGCTATTAAATCCTAAAAATGCAAATAAAGGCAGTTAACCCAATTAAAAGAGACCGCGAGACTAGATCGAAATACGCGGAAAACAACCGGAACACCGAAATGTCCTCACAAATCACAGCGCAAGCTGAAAACACCGGGAAACGCACGACTTCCCAAAAATGAAACTCTGATTATCCGAACCGGTCTGAAACGTCCGAAGATGTGGAAATAGGGTTGTAATCCCGATAAAATCAATATGATTGAGAAAATGCAACATATGCGGTATGCGAATGCAAATCTAAAATGCGTCGAAACATAAACCAGATGTGGGAGCCGGTTGGTCAAATTTTGGGGTGCAACAGTTGCCCCTATTCAAACGGCTTGGACCCGACTGGGTGAAGAGCGAACGACCTTCAAACATTCGAGGTACGAGACGGTTGAATACCAGAGAAACCCTGAAATTTGTCAACCGTGGAGATAAACTACAAAACTGCTTGAGAAGCCACGTCCAATGAACTGAATCTAGTTGTTACGGCAACAACTGGTCAATTATCTGATACAATTTTGATTTCAACCTCAACCACCTGTGTGACGCCACAGGTAATGAGCTATCTTCACAAAACACCTTTGTCCACCATTAGGCTAACCTCGTCAACACCAGAAGAGGAACCAATTCGTCGACACGAATATAGATTCTGTCGTCACAGGAGTAACCTTGTCCACATCTGGACCCAAATTTCATCAAATCACGCATAAATGCAAATATGTCCACGTCAGGACTCACATTTCGTCAACCCGAAGGAAGACATCTGCTGGGGATAAATGATTCCTGAAGAGTAATCAATCTTGTCCACGTCAAGACTTCACATTACGGAAAACTCCCGGTGCTTTCGCTATGGAAACATTTTTGTTTAATCCCAGGGAACTCATCTGCCTATCCCTACAGGCACATCATCTGTCTAAACATAGGAAACCCCATCCGTCTACTTCATACGGGAAAAGTCATCTGCCTGATTACAAGAACATTCATCAACTTAGCATCAAGGGAATTGGTAGTACAAAACCTTCATTTTTAATTACAATACTTTTATTAGAATATTATACATATTTTTGTTAACTTTAATAATTTGAAGGCTAGCTAATTAGTTACCTTGATTTATGGCCATCAAAATGTGCTTCTTTATTTGGAACATCTCCACCATAGACAATAGGATACATTTTTCCTAATAGGTCAAATGTATTCACAGATATCCCCTAACATTAAGAATTAAGGAGATTATTAACAGAGTATATAATTAATTTAGTTAATATGTAAACAAATCAAATTTGAAGTCATAATATTTAAAATATTGAAAAAAAAATATTTACCTCATAAATCTTATTGTTTCCTAATTTCACCATGGTCACAAATTTTCTATTTAAAGTTCCCGCACCCAATGGTGAAAAATTCGACAAGGAAGCAGGTGTTGGGCCATAGTTTCCTCCAGAAAAGACGGTTAAAACTCCTTGTGTTATTGCATAAAAGGATCCAACTGATAATTCATCGTTAAAAATTTTATTTTGGTTTTCCATTTCTCCTCCAATTGACACTGATATTATGTCTACTCCATCTGACACGGCATCATAGAAAGCGTCAAGAATTCTTCTCGTATCACATGCATGGATCCCACACACCTTATATACAGTAATTCGGGCTGATGGAACTCCACCTCTAGATGTTCCTTCTCCTAAGCCTGACATACTTGTATGCTTAATAGGATTCTCAGCAGCGGTTGATGCTATGACCGTAAAAGTCTATGGGAGAGTTCATAAATTTATCGTCGATATCACCATAATATCTAGCCCCAATTAACTTGCTAAAAAAAACATGTATATCAACCATTGTTTATATTATACTCTATAGTAAATTAAGTATTTTAAAATGAATTATAAAAATAACATCTTACTTGTTGCATGTGAAATTAATGCTTTGACAAACTCCCTTCCATTTGCTTGGTGGTGGACCAAAGCCTTTATCATTAAAACTCTCAGATTTTGGCCAAATTCCAGAATCTATTATTCCAATGATCACGTCGGATTCATAAGACTTTCTTTTCACTTTCATTGGAAGACCAATAAAATCCCAGGATATTGTTGTAAGGAGAGCTCTCTTTTTAACCGGAAAGATAGCCACCACTCCATCCAATCCTACAATATCAATTTTTATAATCAAACATACAATTATTAGTATAAAGAATAAATATAATTTGGTTTTCAATAGTTCAACATCAGTGACTACACACCTTCCATTCTATCCACTTCTGCCTTCGTTAATTTTGCTACAAAGCCGCCAAGGTTGGGTTTGTAAGAGTGTAGTACAGATTTTGGCTCTTGGCTGTTAAAATTGTAAGTAAAAACAATGGGTAAGAAATTAATTATATAAATCATAATTTTTTTTTGACTAGTTTCATATTTAATTATGATCATATATAAATGAGATGCAACAAAAAAAATATTGCTTAAAATAAACTATCAGAGCCCTAGCAAAGAAAAAATTAAATTGCACGTAACGGTAAGAAATAAATAATATATCATAAAAAGTTAAATGTGCAACCTATCAGAAGCTTGTTGCATCAAATATTTGTAATGAAGCACGACTGAAATTTCATCTTTCATATATTCTGTATAGATTATGTAAGTCTGCATTTACGTAATAACATATATTTATGAGAAACATGAAAAATAATTATTTTTAGTCAACAAAAATATATATCATAAAATGTTTAGAAAAAGAGATGAAATGTAATTATTTACCTTCAAATGGTCTTGGGAAGATGAGTTTATGAAAATTGAAATAAGAGTAACACTAAAAAGCAAGTGATAGAATGAAAATTTGGAGTCCATTGTCACCTAGAAAAAAATGGTTAATAATTAATAAGCTTGAAATTTTAGAAATGTTGAAACCAAACAAATGAGTGAAAGCATGTTACTATTTTACTGATGGGTCAACGAGTAAACAAGTTCAAGAAACTATGTATGTTGGGTTTTTTTCTTTAATAGGGTTGCTCTCTAGCTAACACTATGTATGTTGAGAATGAAGAAAAGCAAGTGACTTGAAAAGATGTTAACTGAATTAGCTATGAAATGTGTTGTGTTGTGTTTGAGTTGGACTTAGAGACGAGTTGGTGTTTATATAACAAAAAGAGAATTGGTTGAAGTTATACCAGCACAAGTATGGGAAAAAGGGAGTGTGGATTTATGGTAAGGATGTGTGCATCACTAGTTACCTGAATGTGTACCTCTATAGATTCTTTTGCTTTTCTTAACTTTTTTTCTTTTACTTTTTGTTTATATTTTGTTTCTCTTGTTTTTCACTCATAAAGACTTTAAGATGTTTAAGAATAATAATCAGATAAATTAGTTCTAATTTGCCTATTCTTCTAGCAAGCAAGCATCTTAATGCTTGTCCATAAATGGTGTTAAAAATAAAATTGCTTAATTAATGACATTATACTTACATATTTATAGGAATACAAAAGTGATCAAATGGTGAATATGGAAAAAAAAATCATTTCCTCAAACTTCAAGATACATCAGTTGTATGGTTTGATGTGGAAATGATGTGTATCCTAGAAGTGAAAAACATGGAAATTATATATATATATATATATATATATATATATATATATATATATATATATATATATATATATATATATATATATATATATATATATATATATATATATATATATATATATATATATATATATATATATATATATATATATATATATATATATATATATATATATATATATATATATATATATATATATATATATATATATATATATATATATATATATATATATATATATATATATATATATACTAAATGGCAATAATAGACTTATTTTCTAAAATCTATAGAAGTTGTGTTAAGCAATATGTTAACTATTTATGCACGTTCATAGTATTTGTATATGAATATTATATTCTGTCTTTTTATAGAAAATGTATATAGCTTTTCACCAAATAAAATAGTTGAATGTGTTTGAATATACTTTTCTATATATAGAAACAAAAAAGAACAAATGCTTGGTTTTTTCCTTCCGCCATTCTCTTTCTCATTTATAATAATGATATATTATTTTTTACGTATGAAATAATTTTTTTAAACTTTTGAATTATTTTATATAAATTCTTTGATAATATTAATTATCAGTATCACTAGTGTAAGTTGTTTTAACGTTAAATTAAATTAAAAAATGACATGGCAATAAATTTTACTATTTTATTGGTCGAAGGTATATGTGTTTAAAACTGTTAAATTAAACTGAATTGTCAATTTGAACTAAACTAAAGTTAAAATAATTGAACTGGTTACTGAACCAAACTATATAACACAAACAATATTAGAATTGTATTAAAACTGAAAACTGAGCCGGATCTAAATCGAAAAAAGATAAATACAAAAAATTAGTTTTAAATTTTTTAAAATAAATTTTTGAAAAATAATTTAATAGTTTAGTATTTTAATTAATTATTTGATTTGAAAAAAATTATTTTCTAATGGTTCAATACGGTATAAATTTTTTAAAAGATATGATAAACTAATAATTTAAATTCGTTTCTATTATGAGTAAAATTCAAATGAATTTTTATTATGATTTGTTACGTTAAAAGGTCCTATCGATATTCAATTGAGCTTAAAGATACCTTTCATCATTATTTAGTATGGCTCTTCATTTTATAAAGATATAATATAGTATTACTTATCAAAAACTTGCCTTACATAAACACAAAGAAAGTAATAGTAGGAGGTTTGGGCATGTTGGGGATTAATTTGTTTTCATTTTACTTTAATGTTTTAATCTTGAGTTTGCAAACATGTTGTTTGGTATGTTGAATTGGTGTCTACACAATTTTATTAAAGCTTCAAAATAATTTCCTTAAATACATAAGACATGCTATTGGGTTCTTTCTTGGTATGTGTGTTTGTCTGCCTTGATAATTTAGTATCTTTTCATCTAAATTACTCTTAATTTTATTTACCTCATTCATATATACTCCAACAAGATTCCAACATGCCCTAAAAAGGGTTTATTATGTTTATACTGTTAGTGGAATTTTGGTTAATTATAGTGTTTAGAGTTTTTGTTGATGGTTTTAATTTGATGTAGGGATGATTTTAGAAAACCTTTCAATACACTGCTTAAAAAACTATTTTATCCCGGTTAAAAAATATGTTTTATCTCAATTTCACCAACTAGATAATTAACAACATTATAAAAAAAAGTATATTTTAAAATAGCGAAAACACATATTTTTTCGATTTTGTTATTTCACGGATTTTGTTATTTTATCTATGGTTAAATCACATTTTCACTATTTATGCAATGTTCATAGTATTTGTGTATGAATATTATACTCTGTCTTTTTATAAAAAAAGTATACAGCTTTTCACCAAATAAAATAGTTGAATGTGTTTGAATATACTTTTCTATATATAGACAAAAAAGAACAAATGCTTGGTTCTTTTCCTCCCGTCATTCTCTTTCTCATTTAATAATAATGATATATTATTTTTTACTTATGAAATAATTTTTTTAAACTTTTGAATTATTTTATATAAATTCTTTGATAAAATTAATTATCAGTATCATTAGTGTAAATTGTTTTAAAATTAAATTAAATTAAAAAATGACATGGCAATGAATTTTACTATTTGATTAGTTGAAGGTATATATGTATTTAAAACTGTTAAATTAAACTGAATTGTCAATTTGAATCAAACTAAAATTAAAATAATTTAACCGTTTACTGAACCAAATTATATAACACAAACAGTATTAGAATTGAATCAAAACTGAAAACTGAGCCGGATCTAAATCGAAAAAAGATAAATACAAAAAATTAGCTTTAAAATTTTTAAAATAGATGTTTGAAAAATAGTTTAATAGTTCAGAACTTTAATTAATTATTTGGTTTGAAAAAAATTATTTCCTAACGATTTAAAACGGTATAAAATTTCTAAATTAGGATATGATAAACTAATAATTTAAATTTGTTTCTATTATGAGTAAAATTCAAATGAACTTTTACTATGATTTGTTGCGGTCAAAGACCCTATCGATATCCAATTGAGCTTAAAGATACCTGGGTTTCATCATTATTTTATATGGCTCTTGTTTTATAAAGATATAATATAGTATTACTTATCAAAAGATAATGTAACAGTAGTAGTATGTAGGAGTTAAACTCTTAGTCATTAAGATAGTGAATAATTATATATTTAATATAATTTATTAGAGAAATAGTAAATCCTAAGAAGTGATTTAGAAAAATAAATAACTAATTAAAAAGGAGATTAGTTCTCCTAATTTAATTGTTCATAATTAACTCAATATATACCTGTACTGTATAAAGAACATTGATGGAATAAGTAGTTATTTGAGTAAAAAGAAAAAGAAACAACTTAGTGTACTGTATAAAGAACAATAATGGAATAAGTAGTTATTTGAGTAAAAAGAAAAAGAAACAACTTAATGACCGCAACAACTTCTCTTTACACACACAGCATAATATATTTACAGTTTTTTTAAAGTATATTTTATCTTTTGTAGTATTTTACCACTATATACCCAGGCCCTGATTTTCGTGAGTGGAAAATGTTAAACGTTCCCATAAAAATTGATATGGAAAAAGTAAAAAACTTTTGTGTTAAGCAACATGTTATCTTTTTCGAAGTGTTAAACAACATGTTATCTTTTTCGAAGCTATCCCACTAAGTAATTATCATTCTTCTTTTTTTGTTATGCTTATGGTTTTTCTTCTAAACTATTTATGCATGCGTTTACTATTTGTGCATGAAATAATATTTTGTCTGTTTATAGAAAATGTGTATAGCTTTTCAGCAGCTAAAGAAATGGTAGGGACATATAATAGTGGAATGTGTTTGAATATACCTTTCTATATATAGAACAAAAATAACTAATTAGCTTTTTCCTCCCTTTAGCTCATAGACAAGTGGTACTCAAAACCCTTAAAAAAACGTCTAACTACACAAAATAATTAAGCAATACAATTTAATGGAGTTGAAATTTAATTAGAAAAACTATAAAAAGAAGCGGGCTTATTCGCATAACATTGTCATTCCCACGAAATCAACTTAATTTTCGACCAGCACTCCTCAAAATTTGGGATGCTATCATTGAACACAATGTCATTTCGAGTCGTCTAAATTATCCAAATTACAGCCAACCAAACTATGCTTGCCACGTTCCAAACCGACTCCTCCTTGATGGAGTTAGCTAAGAAATGAAACATGGAAAAATCCTCCTTGGACATGACAAAATCAGGCCCCATCCAAGAGATTATAGCAGACTAAATTTTCAAACTGAACACACACTCTCCAAAAACATGCTTTTTAGATTCAGCCTCTTTGGAACACAGAACACAACACAAATCTCTGTTATCAATCAGAATTTTCCTCTTCGCTAACTGGTCTTTCGTTGCCAATCTATCAAGAATCCATAACCACCCAAAAAATATAGCATTCTACGGAACTTTACTTTTCCATTAAACACCACGAACACCACGAACCACAATTGGAATAGGAGCAATGGGTGATCTAGCAGTAAGAAATTTGTACTCAGACTTGACAGAGAAAATATATTTTTTTCCGCCTTCCGTACAAACTCATCGACTAACTCTTGATTCAAATCATTGATTCCGGACCACGCCTGCAGGAACTCTTCAAATCTCGTCCCTTCTGACGTGTTACGTTTCCCTGCAAAAGAGGAATGTCAGTTTCATGAGTCATTATGCGATCTGCTTCTACAATGCTGCAGAGTAGGTTCTCCTCCGATGCAAAAAAACTCAGGGAAAGCCTCCCTAAT